GGTGTAGGGTCGAACAAATCGAACAATACTATGATGTAGATTGAAGATATATAGAACAAACCCTGTGTAATAACAAATAAAAAAAACTGCCCTTTTGGGGTTTTTTAGGGCCATTTTTGTAATTATCAACTAGTACTTATCCCTCGACCTAAATCAAGAATCTTGATTTTTGTCTCTCCTTAGCTTGTACACAAAAAGTTATAGTTTTATATATACATGCCTACTCCATCAATTATTCATTACGTACAATGGGCAAATTTGAAAAATATAAGATGTAATATCCATGCATGATGATATATATATGCATCATATATCTTTCAATTTTTGATTTTTTTCTTTAAATTGGAATTCATTCGTGTACGAGAAAAGCCAAAAACCCCAACGAGGTCACATAAAAATGCACAAACACACAAGAGGCGAACACACGGTAAAGTATGTTGTGGTCGATCGATCGGAACCTTCTTGTTCACACTAGATGTTCTTTTCTTCAATAAAAGTTTTTTTTTTTAATTTGTTTTTATAAAGAGGTCCCAATTGGATAAATCCAACTTCTCCAACTCACAAAGATGCCTATGCAAAAAGATATATATCACATTTCACTACTTAAAGTTAATAATGGACCACCTTAGCTTGTTTTATTAATTATAATTTATAACCCTCTAAATATTATTTTTAATAAATATTTCAATTCCTTATAATTGAAAGAGTTTAGAAATTAATTAGGGAAAATGTTGATTTATCTTTTCCGCAGAGATGATAGATTATTTGACTAGAGAACAAACAAATAGAGTAATTATAGATTAAATAAATCAATTTAATCATGCTAAAAGTATGTAACATTTTCCAAAGTCGGCATAAAATCAAATTGAGAACAAAATAGATTGATCTAATATCTTATTAGATTGACTAATCATGAGAAAAAAAAATCATAAAATATTATCAAGGCATCCCACATACTGTATCATGAACTTCCAATCTTAATTGACTTAATTAAATTAATTAGTGGGAATATTTAATATATATCAGCCATTAGATAATATTCTTATCCTTAAAAAGATTTCATGAAATTATCAAGCCGTACAAAGGATTTTATTTTTTGGTAGGCCACGTTTCAATCTCTCTCAAATTAATTATTAATTAAACATTCTTAATCCCTCCAAAAATCCTTACAAGTACAATACAACCCAATCCAATCCACTCTCCATTTTCTCCAAAATTTCTATATAAATACACCCAATCCACTCTCCATTTTCTCCACACCAAAAAAACAACAAAAACCCTAGTTCTATATATCAATATTTTCACACACTACTACACCACACACACACACACATCTTTTTTTATTACAAGCAACTATTTAATTCAAAAAGAAATGGAGAGAGTGAGCAAAATGGCCTCGGAGAAGCCGGTGGTGATATTCAGCATGACGACGTGCTGCATGAGCCACACGATCATATCGCTCTTCAGCGACTTCGGTGTCAATCCGACGGTGTACGAGCTTGACGAGATCTCAAGGGGACGAGAAATCGAGCAAGCCCTATCTCGGCTCGGCTGCAACCCTACTGTCCCGGCGGTGTTCATCGGTGGCGAGTTCGTCGGAGGTGCCAACGAGGTCATGAGCCTCCACCTCAAAAGGGCCCTCAAGCCCATGCTCAAAAGAGCCGGCGCACTCTGGTTATGATCGATGACGTACGTCATCATCGTACACTGTACGTCTGGCCGGCCGACTGGCGGAGATAATTAATTAATATATAGGTTTAATTAAGAGTGGGATTAGTTGGTTGGTAGAGATTATATATATAATAGGGGCCTTTTTGTATGCTCCAGTTTTGCCTAACAATTAATGGTTCTAATCTACTGAATAATAATGTTTTTATATTTTATATATACTTGATATATATATATATGATATATATATCAGCTTTAATTACTTTCATGCTTCTTTTTTGTTTTTTTGGCTAATAATTAATACGATTTTCTAGTGTTTTGAACTCATAATTTGATTATTACGTATTTATTTAATTTATCGAATATTAGATCATCGTCTTCTTCTACTTAATTGAAATATAATGCTCTTCTTAATTAATCAGATTAAAAGCAATGCCCGTGAGATAATCTAAAATGTATTTTGTGAGGTTGTGTTATAATACGCGGATACTTGAAAGTACTGAAATAGATTCTCGACTTGTTATATATATACCAACCAAACGAGGCCTTAACATCGTATATACTTCTAAAATTTTCCCTCTTATCGAAATTACGGCCACACTCTGGGGTATAGGTAAAATTACGAAAAAATATGGAAACTAATTCTTTTTTTCAGAGCTGTTGTCCCCGAACTACCGATATGTTTTAAAGCCCACCCTCACAAAAGTACGTTCTTAGCCTCGCCACCGGCACCAATATTATTGGATTATTTTATTTGATGCTTAATTAATTGGTAAAATGTTAACAATTAGCAGAAGAATCTGTTGTGCATGCATGGACAATATTATATTGATTGTAATTATATATATTTTATCAACCTAATAAATGACACTTATTAAAACTTCAGAAAATGATAGAACGTTTTTTTTTTTAAATTATGGGCAATAAGTGACAATAACAAATAACAAATTACAGCTGATGATTTTATCAACCTAATAAATGACACTTATTAAAACTTCAGAAAATGATAGAACTTTTTTTTTAAATTATGGGCGATAACAAATAACAAAGCTGATGACAGATTCTAATGCATATATAAATCAGATCCTAATACTCTCTCTCTCTCTCTCTCTCTCTCTCTCTCTCTCTCTCTCTCTCTCTCTCTCTCTCTCTCCATTACGTACATACTCATGAAACTAAAGTTGACATTTTTCATCACACGTTTTTATGAATCGCATCTGCTTCCACGCGCACACAAACACACACACACACCCACATGTGTTACTGCGTGTTTTTTCGTACGTAGAACGGTAGAAGTTTCCACATGATGTAAGATTGAAGAGATCAGAATTAACAACCCCAGCTGTAATAAAAACTGCCCTTTGGGTTATTTTGGGGCCATTTTGTAATTATCAACAACTACTTGCCCCTTTTCCATAATACTTATCCATCTACCTAAATCAAGAATCTTCATTTTTGTCTCTCCTTGTGCCCAAAAAGTTATAATTTTAATTTTATATATACTCCATTTTATATATATATATACGCATGGAAAAGAAAAAAAACTGAAACCATGCATGCATCTTAATTAGGATTACTAATTAATATATATATATATATATATATATATATATATATATATATATACATATATATACACGCATGCATGCATGCATTAATCGTGTACGTACTTCAATAACCTAACTTATTTAACGGCAATCAATCTATCTTTGTAACATAGATAATTAATTAAAGATTCAAGATCATCCGATTTATTTCACCGAGTGTAGCATCTTCAAAACTGTTACGTTGTGCCTTTACAAAATCGAATCTTGTTTTTCACAAGATCGAAGAAATAAAAGGGAAGAGGTCCCAATTGGATAAATCCAAATTTAAATATTCTTCTCCAACTCACAAAATTAGATGCCTTTACATATAAAAGATATATATCACAATTCACAAAAGTTAATTGGACATACTTGTTTAATTTACAACCTCTCTAAATATTATTTCTAAGAAAAAAAAAATCAATTCCTTAATTAATTGAAAGAGTAAAGAGTAGTAATTGACAGTAGATTATTTCACTGCAGAACAACGAAAAGGGTATACGATTAAATTAAAAAATAAATAAATAAAAGTGTGTAATTTTAAATTTAAAAAATACAGCATATATCAAATCAAATTGGGAACAAGTAGGATAAATATAATATCTTATTAGATTGACTAATCATGAAAAAGAAAATCATAAATATTCTTTAAAGGCATCGCACATACATGATAAACTTTCGATCTTAATTGACTTAATTAAATTAGTGGGAATATTTAATTATAATATATATTTAATAATAATATTCTAATCCTAAAAAATATATCATGAAATCATCAAAAGCCGTACAAAGGGACACGTCTCAATATTCTCCGTATGCAGATATTCGTCATCGTTTTTTCCCATTTTTTTTTAATTTAATTTAATTTAATTTTATTGGTAACATATTCCAAAATTCCAATTGTACCCTCACATATACCCCATGATTTTCACCTATATATATACACCTTCCCCACTCGTCATTTTCATCACAACAAAACCAAATTCCACATCCACACTAACAATCTTTTTTCTTCAATTCCAAATTCAATTCCATCTCAAAATGGAGAGATTGAACAAATTAGTGACCAAAAAGCCCTTGGTCATCTTTAGCATGACCACATGTTGCATGAGCCACACAATCAAGTCCCTCTTCTACGATTTCGGTGTCAACCCAACAATTTACGAGCTCGACGAAATCGCAAACGGACGTGAAATCGAGCAAGCCCTATCGCGGCTCGGGTGTAACCCTACAATGATGCCTGCAGTGTTCATCGGCGGCGAATTTGTCGGTGGTGCAAACGAGATTATGAGCCTCCACCTCAAGAGGTCTTTAAAGCCCATGCTAAAAAATGCCGGTGCATTATGGGTTTAATAATATATATATACGTACGAGTGTATGTTTGTGGGCCCGATAGAATCGATAAATATTGCAGTTTTATTGCGTATATGATCGTTTAGATGTCGGATTATATAGTCACTAAGTTTTTCTAAGTATAGTGCTAATTATCACTATATATACACTATACATGCAGTTTTTGTTGCACGTGGTGTTATTATATAAATAGGTTTAAAGTTTTTTATGATGCCTTTTGTATGCTTAAGTTTTGCCTAATGATGCTACTAATCTACTGAATTAAATATATTATTAATGTTAGTAATATATCAGCTTTTTTTAATGCTTTTTTTGGGATTAATTATTAATATGAATTTCCAGTAAATCTGATTAATGTCGTATATTACTCGAAATTATATTATGTTACATCAAGATTAACAAGCAATATAATTGAAAATGAAATAGATTCTTGACAGCAACCAAGACATTGGCATAGCATATATATATGCACCAAAAAAACAAGCTGAAACAATAAAAATCTATGTATTTATTAAAAATTCAGAAAATTATTAGTGAAGTACTAAAAAGTTCACACAAAAATTTATATATATATAGAGAGATAGAGAGAGAGAGAGAGAGAGAGAGAGAGAGAGAGAGAGAGAGAGAGAGAGAGAGAGAGAGAGAGAGAGAGAGAGAGAGAGAGAGAGAGAGAGAGAAGTTACACGTGATTATAGATTTCTAACTTATCCTAAGACCCAACTAATCTCTATTTACAGTAATATTTTACAAAGTCGCGTTTACATTTTAAATACATAGAAAACGCGTTTCTAATAACGCTAAATACATAGTATCTAATTAATAAAAGGGTAATTGGCCTTTTGCACCCTGCAATTATGTTCATTTTGCACTTTGCCTTCTTAAATTAAAAATATGACATATTGTACCCGCAAATTAAGATTTACTTGGCATAGTGCACCCCATAACCTAAATATAGTAGAATAAAAGGAATTTTGGGGAACTGAAAGGGTAAGTTTGTGAATAAATTCAGTACCAACCTTTTTTATTACATACAATATTCCTCGTTTGCGGATATAATTAACAATAATTGACCATTTTGCCCAGTGAATTATGGTAAAATAAATTCTTCGGACGCAAATTTTAGCAGAAAAAGTGTATTAGAGTGTAATGTGCCAAGCAAATCTTAATTTGACGGTGCTATCTACCATGTTTTTAACTTAAGGGTGCAAAGTGCCAAATGAGCATAATTGAAGGGTGCAAAATGCCAATATATATATATATATATATATGAGACTTTATTACAATATGTATCGGATGAAATAATTGAACTAATTTTTCCTTTGGTGTATGTGTATATATATATTACCACTAGTTAAATGCATAGACAGATTCACCACCCAATTTGCAGCACCGCTCACACTATTTATGTTTATTAAATTAATTATTAAAAAATTATATATTTTAAAAAAAATCTAAATTAGTATATATATAATGCAAGATACAGCAGTCCACGTCAGATTTTCAAGTTGCATAAAGCCAATTTCTGAGAAATTCTCTCTCTCTCTCTCTCTTTCTCTCTCTACATTACGTACTCACGAAACTAAAATTGACATATTATTATTCACACGTTTTAATGAATCGCATCTGCTTCCATGCATGCATTGCACACACACACCCGCATGTGTTACTGTGTGTTTACGTACGTACGTACTCAGAAGTTTCCACGTACATCGTAGAGGTTCGAACACCCCCTGTAATGAACTAAACTGCCCTTTGGGGTTTTTTAGGGCCATTTTGTAATTACCAACAAGTACTACTACTTGGTTTCTTATTCTTTTCCCATAATACTTATCCCTAAGAATCTTCATTTTTGTATCTCATTATATACACAAAGAGTGTATGTATATATATATGTTTGATGATATATTAATAAAAGTTGCATTGGGAATTCATTCGTGTACGAGAAGCGCCAAAATAACGAATGAGGTCACGTAACATTATATGCGCAACAAGAGGCAAAACACGATAAAGTATATATGTTGCGGTCGATCGGAACGTAACCTTCTTGTTCACACTAGATGTTCTTTTCTTCAATAAATTCTTGAATTTTACTTTTTTTCCTTTTCTTTTCGATTTTTTTATTTTTAAAATCGAACTCGAAAGATGACATGATTAATTAATGGAACTATTTTTTATTATTATTATTATTTATTTCGTGAGATAATATGAAGATTATATTATATTAATTATTGCTCTAATTTGCTCCTTTGTTTTTGTTTTAATCAAGGAATTGGTTTTATTAATTATCCAATTAATAAATAAATTAAAATATAATCGAATATAGTAAGAAAAAAGGAATTGAGGTCCCAATATTTGGATAAATCCAATTTGAATTCTTCTCCAACTCACAAAGATGCCTCCCCAAAAAGATATATATCACATTTCACTACTTAAAGTTAATAATGGACCACTTGTTTTATTTTAATTTGATCTCTAAATTTTATTTGTAATAAATATTCAATTCCATATAAATTAATTGAAAGAGCATAGAGATTTATAAATTGGGAAAATGTTGTCTAACCTAGCTCAAACAAATAAATAGAGTAGGATTAAGTAAATTAATTTAATAATGTTAAAAGTGTGCAACATGTTTTTCAATATTAAAATCGGCATAAAATCAAATTAAGAACAAAATAGATTGATGTAATATCTTATTAGATTGACTAATCATAAATTAGTGGGAATATTTAATATATATCGGCAATATATATATATAAGATAATATTCCAATCCTTAAAAAGTTATCATGAAATCATCAAGCCGTACGAAGGCCACGTCCCAATATTCTCCGTATGCAGATATTCGTCATCGTTTTGCCTTTTTTTATTTTTTTTTTATTTTTATTTATTTATTGGTAGGCCACATCAATCTTTCTCAAACTAATTAATTATTAAAAAAAATAAATAAAGAATACTACAAAACAATATATCAAATGTCTAATGTTAACATTCTTAATCCCTCCTACTCAATGTAACGTTGTCCACTTTTTTCTTTAAGGACAAAATAACACACACACACAAAGATATTCTAAAATTCCAATAGTACCCTCATGATTTGTACCTATAAATATACCTTCCCCACTTCTCATTTTCATCACAACAAAACCAAACTCCAATTCACTACCAATCATCAAAGCTTTCATATTTCAATCCTTTTTCTTCAATTCCAAATTCAATTCCAATTATCAAATGGAGAGATTGAACAAATTGGTGTCCAAAAAGCCCTTGGTCATCTTTAGCATGACCACATGTTGCATGAGCCACACAATCAAGTCCCTATTCTACGACTTCGGTGTCAACCCAACGATCTACGAGCTCGACGAAATTGCAAACGGACGTGAAATCGAGCAAGCCCTATCTCGGCTCGGCTGTAACCCTACAATGATGCCTGCAGTGTTCATCGGTGGCGAATTTGTCGGTGGAGCAAACGAGATTATGAGCCTCCACCTCAAGAGGTCCTTGAAGCCCATGCTCAAAAATGCCGGTGCATTATGGGTTTAATAACATATATACGAGTGTGTGTCCGACAAAATCGATAAATATTGCAGTTTTATTGCGTATATGATCGTTTAAATGTCGGATTATAAAGTCACTAGAGTTATATATATATATAGGGAGAGAGATAGTGAGCCTATGTGCTCCAAGTTTTCCTAACTATACTACTAATTATCACTAAATAATGTGTACTTCAACCTTTTTTTATTGAAGTGAAGTTGCACTTCTATGTTTTTGAGTTATATATAAAGTTGAGTTTAAATAACTTGTGTTCTATGTCTATATATATTCTTTTATGCATGCATTATGGGAAATCTTGGATGCATCTCAAATCACAACATACACGGGTTTGCGAGCTATCGCACGAAAGTGAATATTTACCCAATGCATCTATATTGTTGGATACTGGTTCGTTACAAAATAAATTAGTAACTAATGTTACCATAAATACCCTCGAGCAACTCCATTATCAAGATTCATTACTCTTGTTCCCAACAAAAACCTAAAATGGGCTATTAATTATTAATTGGGCTTTCTAGCCCAATTAATAGAAAAAGGCCCAAATTTTGGATATGAATACATTTTGACTATAGTTGACGTTGACACGTGTGAGATATAAATGGGCTAAAATCACAATTACCGAGAAGTTAAATGGGCCCCACCTATACGGCCCATCTTTTCCCTCGCAATTAATGCTTGTCAGTGCCTCGACTCTCTCCCATTGGTCTTCGCTATCAGCCAACGGTCATCTATCTCTCTCCGGTTTCTCTCCCGTCCAATTCTTTAACATTCCTCTTAAAAAAATTAGACGAGTTGAGATTTCAAAAATTACCCCAAAGTTTTACAACTTATAATTTAATATTAAATTGTCTATTTTTAAAATCATTTTTATTTCATATTATTTGTCATTTTAGATTTTTAATATTGTATTAAATGAATGTTTTCGTGTTTCAACCTTATTAATTTAAATATATGTATTAACTCTCTATTATAAATTGTTAAATGATAAATGTTATTTTAATCTTTTCTATGTGTATAATTGTTTTTTTTTTTTTTGATTTTGAATATTTTTTAATCTAATTAAAAAAAACTGCAAAATAGTTTCTGAATATTATATGCATAATAAACATAATTAAATATTTTTTTATATTACAGGTGAATAAAAAAAAATCAAATACCAATGATCTTTATATGAAAATTTCCAATTTTCAAAAAAAAAATTGAATCACATTTTAATTTTTTTTTTTTTTTATGAAATTGGAATTAATTTTTCCCCTAATTACATATTATATTGAGACTTCAATAAAATTATAAAAGAAGAGCATGAGCCATGAATGCATAAAACTGTACACAATGGAACCGCACGTGATCAAGTCCCCATCGTCTCTCTCCACAGTACCCCGCGCATTATAGCAATTACACCCTACGTGAAAACTCATGTGAAACACGTCACGCAAACAGACAGCAGGCTAACGTGCGCCTACACTCTCGTTTTCTCTCTTTCATTCATAAGTAATTTACTGCAAATCTCAGAATACCTCTACGGCATTATCGATACATACAGTTCTGTAGTCTCTCTGTATATAATATATTATAATATAATAATAAAATAAATAAATAAATAGTATCATAATACGACGACGTACGTGGACATTGTGAACTGTGGTAACAGCAAATAGGATAGAGAAGAAGCCCCAAATTCCGAGCTGTTCGTACATTTTTCACTGTGTTCAGAAGCCCTAATTATTTCTCGATTTCTGAGGTACGCGTTGTATTGTATAGATACATTTTTTTGTGCGTATACATTTCCTGATCATCACTGTTTTTTTTTTTTTTTTTGCCTGTGAAGCTTTCGGATTTCGAAAACATGTTTGGTTTTTCGAGGAGAAAGATGAAGATTGGGAGGTAATTTGTTTACATTTTGTCTGTGCAGTGTGTGTGTGTGTGTTTTTAGTTCATATTTTTGGATTTAGTTTTTTTTTTTTAAATAATGTAGCTGATGAACTAGTAGATCTCTTCTAATGTTGTCTCAAATCTCCTGGTTATCTGTTGATTTCTCCCAATTTTTATTTATTTATTTTTTAATTTTGGTGGATATGAGCATTGAAAATGAAAATTGAATAGAGTGGAGACAACAAGATAATCGGTTCAATAATCGAACCACCTGTAAATATAATGGAGGGCATGCTTTCTAATGGCAAGTTATTGGAGAAATCGTACTACTGTAGAAAAATATTTTCGTTAATCGTTATCGTTTGCCTAGTTTCTTAAATTACATGTTAATCACAATCTGTTGTGTTTCCGCAGAGTGAAAGTTCAACTCTCGGACTCTTCTCAGGGAACTAGAAGTCCAATACGGCACGCTAAACGGTTTAGCAGTTCCAATGTAAGAGAAATGTAATTTAATTTCATGAGATGTCCAAACGAAAAACACTGCTCGTTAATGTGTTCTATCTTGACAGGGTGAAGGTGTGGCGTTAGCAAGTAGTGAATCGGATGAACTTAATTGCCATTCTTCGTCTAATACGCCGGAGCTTAACAACTGCTCTTCGGGCAGCTCTGAAAATTGGATGGTGCCTTCTATCAGTGGAGAGAAGCCTACACCTCGCTTCAATGTAAAAATATTTTTTTGATCCCTACCTTTTTTAATGTAAATATCGAAATTGGTAAGATGTAAAAAAATGTATTTCTCTTTGGATAAAACATTGAAAAGTTTGAATGTACGATGAATAGCATGCAGCGGCAGTAGTCGGGAATAAGATGGTGGTGGTTGGTGGTGAATCTGCTAGTGGGTTGTTGGAAGATGTCCAGGTATTGTCTCAGTGTGTGTGTGTGTGTTTTGTTTGCCCTTTATTTATTATTAATTTTTTTTGTCCTAATTAATATTTTACTTTAAGAAGAAATTCTTTTGCATTTTTTCAGGTGCTGAATTTTGATAGATATTCATGGACTAAGTCTTCATCGAAGCTTTACCTTTCACCGACAAGTCTTCCTCTAAAAATTCCAGCATGCAAAGGTCACACTTTGGTATATAATCAACTTCTCTAACAGCATTACCATGCCATGTATCTTTGTTGTATAATTCGAAGTTATAGCTTATTCTTACTTTTTTTACCTAAAAATATTCGCAAACTTTTAGTACAAGCAATTGTGTTTCTCTTTGTTGGTTTAAGTTGAACAAGTATGCACAGATTTCTGGGATTACAAGCTTTCTAAATTCTCTTGATCATTTCAAATTCTTTCTTGTTAGTCCCTCTTGATTAATGTTGTGATTTTCTAGGTCCCTTGGGGGAAGAAAGTACTTCTTATTGGAGGGAAAACCGAGCCTGCAAGTGACAGAGTGTCAGGTTTTCCCTTTTTTTTTTTTCTTTTTTTTCTTTCCCTTCTCTGCAATTGGGACAACTTCTCTTCTGATCTCTCATTTAATACAATTTATCCTCTTCACATGCAGTTTGGGCATTTGATATGGAAGCAGAATGTTGGTCACTTATCGAAGCAAAGGGAGACATCCCGGTAACTTCCCTTCATAATGAAAAGGTATTGATCGAAAAAAAAATGGTACTAAGTTACTAACTGAAGCTAATACAATTCACAGGTTGCGCGTAGTGGTCATACTGTTGTTAGGGCAAATTCTGTCCTAATCTTATTCGGAGGCGAAGACAGTAAACGGAGGAAACTCAATGATCTGCATATGTTTGATCTGAAATCTCTAACATGGCTTCCTCTTCATTGCACGTAAGCCGCTGTATAAATCATGCGCAAATATTTTTTGATGCAGATTTATATATATAGAGAGTTTTTTCTCATGTGCAGAGGACCAAGACCATCGCCAAGATCAAACCATATTGCGGCTCTTTATAATGACAAAATGCTTTTCGTTTTTGGTGGGGCGTCGAAATCTAGGACCCTGAACGACTTGTACTCACTCGACTTTGAGGCAGTACGTAAAACACTCCACACTTGTGTGCTCTAACTCTAAGTATATGGAATTCTTGGATTATATAATAAAACTCGTGCATATATGTTTTTTTTCAGATGGTATGGTCAAGAATTAAAATACGAGGTTTTCATCCTTCGCCTAGATCTGGTTGTTGTGGAGCGCTCTGTGGAACAAAATGGTATATTACAGGCGGTGGTAGTAAGAGAAAACGTAAGTCCTTTGGCTAACAACTCAATGTCTTTTTTTTTTTTATAAAGAAAATAACTCGATTTTTTTAGCAAGAGTCGAAAATTTTGAAGTCCATTTTTTTTTACAGGACCTGCGGAGACCTTGATATTTGATGTAATAAAGTTTGAATGGTCAATTGCCGTTGCATCACATCCATCTTCCATAACTACCAACAAGGTTTTTTACATAACTTGTTCTATTACTTTCTCATAAATGCTTAGTTATTCTTAATCTGACAGTGTATATGTTTGTAATAATTTGTGGATGTTCATTCACATCACTTGTTTAGCACTCTTTCACAGCATGTGAAGTTCTTCAATTATCCTGAAGATATTTAACGGGGAATCATACTTCGATTGGATTGCAGGGCTTCAGTCTAGTTCTTGTGCAGCATAAAGAAAGGGATATTCTTGTTGCATTTGGTGGTATAAAAAAAGATCCATCAAACCAGGTGCTCAAGTCTATTTTATATCAGTTCTTGAAATTATCTGTTTATAAGTTTTTCGACTATAATAATGTTTTTTTTTTCCGACTAGGTCGAGGTACTTATCATGGAAAAAGTCGAATCATCAATAATTCGAAGATCCACTTTGAGTAAAGTTGCTGGAACATTGCTGTCTGAAAATGGACCTTCTTCCATAGGCTTGTCTCAACCAGGCAATGCTGCTTCTCTTAGCGGCCATTTTGATTCCATCTCGAGACTTAATTTAGCTTCTGCAATCGAACATCATGGATCGGGTAGAAAATCATTGTCTGAATCTTTACTTGTTGACCCGAACCCTGGTCCTGGTAATGTGTCACTCAGGAAACAGTTCTATAATGAAGAGGAGAATGCTGATGCAACCACAACAAAGATCTCGGTGGACAAAAATTCGTTCCAGGTTAAATTTATTTGTATCCTTCTGTACTTGGTTAAATTTTGAGTTAATCGGGATCTCATATATATTACCAATTTCGATCCGAAGCATTTCTGAAAAATCAACATCGAAATTTCGGATTTCGGAATGAAACATATTCTTCCAAAATCGGAAAATTTCGGATCAGACCGGCGAAAATCGGAAATTCCATTCTCATTTCCGCCCTTAATTCCTATCTATGCCATTCAATGATTTTTGTCAAACTTGAACTTCGTAAGAAATGTCACAACAAGAAACTCAAGTCATGTACATGATATATCGTTTTCAGACAATGGAGCCAAACACGAAGTTGTCAGATTCTGGTGGTGTTGGGGTGAGCTACAACGGAGACAGAAGCACAGAAGAAAGATCGTATGCATCTGAATCAGATAAGCAAGAAACCGAAGATCTTATATTGCAAGAAAACGACGGCAAATCAAGAATGACAGCTCCGCCAGGTGTCTACCAGGTAAGCGAAGCCAAGTTAGCTAGCCTTATGAGGAAGAACGGAATCCTGGAAGGACAGCTGGCGGCTGCACTAGCGGCTCGAGAGGCGGCAGAGAAGAATCTGTCAGCTGCTATAAGAAGTCGGCTGGAAATGGAGAAGAAATTGGGAGAGGCAATGAAGGAAATGGAGATGCTCAGAGAAAAGGTAACAAGTGTTGAGCTGGCACAGGAAGAGGCTAATAGCCTATCAAACATTGTCCACTCGGACAACGTAAGACTCGAGCATGACGTGGCCTTCCTTAAAGCCGTTTTGGATGATACCCAAAAGGTCTCGTCTTTTTGCCCCTCTATTACTGGTCGTATGTATATAATTTTTAAAATACAATTTCCCTTTTAAATTCGTTTCGATTGGATTTGTCTATTTCAGGAACTTCATTCGACTAGAGGAGTTCTTGCTGGAGAGCATGGAAGAGCGTTCCAGTTACAGGTATTAAAAACATTTTACCGAATTAACAATATTTCGTACTATACTTTCAAAAGGTATGAATACGATAGATAGGTCGATAGTATAAAGATGTGTAATAATGGTTTCGAGTTGCTCGTTTTTCTTCGTTTTCTTAAGCAATAAATGTAAGTTTATCCTTTAATATATTGCAGGTAGAAGTTTTCCATCTGAAACAGAGATTACAGTCATTGGAGCCTCGAGCACCGACACCTAGGAAACCTTACCATGTTTAGTATATGCAAAAAAAAATCCAATTTACCACATTAAGCATGTGTATGTATTCCACGAAGCATGTACGTACGTACCCCCCTCTCGTTTTGTGCCTGTAATATATAAGCTTAACTATCATTACACAGCCTTTACATGGAATTGCTAATATTATGTAATAAGGTTCGTTTCGGTTCGGATATGTACAAAAGTAATCAGCACTTTTATCACATGTTTCTTAAAGTCATCGTTCTAAAATGTGGTCTCTTAGATGGTGATTTGCACACAATTACACACACGTGTGAATGTGTTTATAATACCACCAATTTTGATCGAGATATCAACGATAAAGAAGCAGAAATACCGCAAACAGCAGTTACATTCTTTGACAATAATATTAAATATTTAAAATTATTTTTTTTTACAACAATTTAATTTAATCGAACGCTTCCATCACAATAGCTCGGCCTCTTCCTGATCCCCATCGGCATCATCAACCTCATTATCTTCGTCGTCGTCATCTGGAGCATCAGGATCAACTCCCTAAAAATAAAAAATAAAAAATAAAATCCACTTGCTGCATAAGTACACACACAAAAAAAAAAAAAGCAAATTAAATAATGCAAACCTTCATTTGTTTCTCCAAGCGATCTAGCCCTATTTTCGCAGCTTCGTTTTCGATATTTATTCTGAATAAAGAAAAGGCAAAATAATTAATTATTTTTCAAAATTATTTCGCAAGGAAATGGGAAAAGGGAAGGACTTTTTTAACCTCAGAGCAGCTTGATAATGTGAAAGGGCATCGTGCAACATGTTAGTCGAAGCAAAGACTTGAGCAAGCTTAACATGCAAAGAATCATCGGCCCAATCTTTTAAATATCTTTCCAGTAAAATAACCGCATCCCCGTTTCGACCTTCCATCACATGGAGCTCAGCCAATGCCAATGCAGCTCCAAGAAAACCGGGTTCCAATCTCAACGCCGATTCGTAAAACTTTTTTGCCTACAAAAAAATATATAAATAAATAAATAAATAAAAACAAGAAAATAAGAATATTTGAGTTCTTGATAATTCAACGGAAAAATTAGTATTTGCAGGTAATTTATGCGATTTTAGTGAATTTAATTGATTAAAAACTAGCATTAAAAGCTATTTTATAAAGTAAAAGTTTGAAACAAAATTCTAAATAATACTAAATTATTCGAGACCTTTTCTCTGCCGCTGGTGTTACTAGCATGTACATCTCCGACTAGTTTTAGAGCCTTTGCAGATTGAGGCATTGCCTTCATTGCCTCTCTGGCTGCATATAAAGCTTCTTTGATCTTTGAAAGAGCCAAATACGAACGAACTAAACCTGAAATACTTATCGTAAGTGTCATTTAATAATTGCTTTCCTTAAAACTAACTCAAAAAAAAAAGACATGCAAATGTCTGAACGTACCTTGATAGGAACGAAGATCGGGCCTTAATTCTTGAGCCCCCCGGTAGGCAACCACTGCTGCTTCTGGCCGATTCATTGACAAGAACAGATTACCCTAGATTAATAATAATAATTGAGACATTAGGTAAAAAGTACGGGTGGCAATTTTTTTCTAAAGTGAAAAACTAATTCCAATTTCATTCGAAAAAAAATCGGGAAGTCCGAATTTCAGAAATTGGAATGGAAAAATTGTTCCAAATCGGAAATTTTCGGATCGGAATCGGCGGATATCAGAAATTCCATTTTTTTGGCCACCTGTAATATAAAAATAAATAATAATATTGATATTTAGTGTTATTTGAATAAATTTTTGTACCTTCATTATATAGCCAGCTACATGTCTCTCATCAATGCGAATGCTCTGCGAATAGCAAATCAAATAATGACAATAAAGCAATTGTAGCAATCCGTTAAACTAAAAAAAAACGAGAAATCCAACCTTCTCGGCATAAGATAAAGCTCCTCTCTCGTCTTTCTTTTCCCACAGAACAGACAATGCCACAAAAACTTCGGGTTTTGTGGGATCAATATTCAATAGATCATGAACTAATTTATTTAACTTGGAATAATCGGACTTCAGCTTCAGAAGCATTGCATATTCATCCATGTAAGTAATTACATATGGATCAATTGACCGTACCTGTATCAATTGAATTTTCCCAAGTTTACTTCCAACGTCAACAACAATTTAACGTATAAAAATAAAAATAGCTGTTAAGTACTTACATTTTCAAAATCAAGAATGGCTTCATCGTTTTTTCCTATGACAGCTTTAACCTTCAGAAAAAAGCAAAAAGCAACTTACGATTATTTCATGATGAACTAAATACAAATGTCGGAACTTAATTAAAGAACAAGCATAGTGCAGTTATTACAAACCTTGGCCATTTCAAGTAATATGTGAACGTTGTTAGGAAAACGTTGTAGAAGTTCCGAGAATATTTCCAGCCCACCTGCAATAATCTGACATTTGTAATAATCTGTGGATGGAAAAATACGATGAAAAAAAAAAAAAAAAATCTATTGTAATAATCTGACCTTTGTAATCATTCAAAGCAATGCAACATCGAGCTTCGACATAACGCTGCATCGCAATAAGAGATAACATGACTATTATAAAATATAAATTAGATTTAGCAATAATATAAATTTGTAGCTAAAAGCAACTTACGGGCAACCAGCGACTCGAGTCAAAATGGTCAAAGGGAGGTCTTCCGGTTCTCGTTGGAGTCTGTGATGACCAACAAATAAAAACGGAGAGAATTATATTATAACTTTTTGTGGTTTATAAAGAATTATGTCGAAACACCTGGCGTTACAGTTAATGGAGCAATTAATGGACTTTGAACCATCGCGAAATGCATTTATTGCGATGAATTTATAACGAAAACGACATTGCCTTCTTACACGAAGAGGAATCTGACAGAGACGAAAACACTATCAAACAAACCTGAGGAAACAACGAGACGATATCTTTTGCGGAAACACCCAATTCAGCCAGTGCTATAATAGCTTCCATTATGTAAGGGCAATTTCTGTCACGAGAATAAATAAAAACAGGCCGTAATTTGTCAAATATATCTTCAATAATGTCATCGAGGCAGAAATACGCTCTACAGATATATACACGAGCACAAGTTCAAAAGTCCGATGTAAAAGGTACTTATGCATATGGACATAAAACTATCATTAAATACCAAAGAATCGGACCTTAAACACTCCTTAAAACATCCAATTGCAGCTCGAGTATGCCTAGAATTTCGGTAAAGCTTAGCCATCGTAAGATTCATTTCTAGATTCCTCGACTTGCTTGGAATTCCCTCCATCTGTTCAACACGCACAGCGATGCCATCACTATCAAGAATTACAATACATATATATAATATAATTATAATTTTACAAGTACAAACAAACCTCAGCGAGGGCAGCTCGGTTCTCACCGAGCGAGCTGTGACACGTAGCAATCTTGAATTTCACCTTTATTTTACGTTGCCAAAAAAGAACCGATAAATAGCCATTTACATTAAGCATTACGCAAAATATGAATTACGTTTACCTCATTTTCATTTATCACCGAAGCATTAATAGAATTTGGAGACGAAGATCGATTTAATGCCGACAGCGCACTCCTAGTTGCCGTGGGAGTCGCTGCAGTTTGTTTCGGTAGAATCTTGTGGTGCTGCAATGCTTGTTTATATATTTGCTGTCCGAATACACAAACAAACAATATAAAATAACCAAAATTATTCACCCATTAACCCTAGCAAAATTTTGGTTCAATCACCCATATAAAATGCATAATAGCAAAGCTCAAATGTAAATTCACAATCTTACAATTGCCCTTCGATATTCCTTCTCTCGAAAAAGTGAGTCGCCATATAGCACCTGTCACCAGCCATACATTACCAAATCAAACGGCGTCGCATTGCACCAAAAAAAATTAAAAATAAAAAAATCAACAGAACGAAAACCAGTAGAAATCGAATAGTACCAAGCTTTCTGCTTTGATATGAGGGTTAGTCTCAAGGTTTATCGACGAAACAGCAAAACAACCCTGTTTAACACACACACACACACACAAAAAACGAAGAGTTTAATCGGCGAATTGTTGGCTCAGATTATGGCGGAAACTGAACAATTAACGGAAAGGGTACCAGGATTTGAGCGGAGGAATGGAGGCCATGATCCAGAAGAACGGATAATTGATCTCTGGGAACATCCATCGAACAGTTGGTGTGCGCTGCGTCTAAAGTGTTTGTCTCTGTGTGAAAGTTTGAGTGAAGCGCTCGGCAATTTGAAATCGCTGCTCGGCGAGAATTTTCACTTGCGTCGAAGGCCCCCAAACTTTTACGAAAATTCATTAATGCCCAAATATTTTGAATGTTATGATTTCTAGGACTTGATTTCTAAAAAAAATTCAAATTTTGAATAATTTGTGAAATTATTAATAAATAATTGGCTAATGCCTAAAATGCCCCTTTCACGAAATTTCCAGACTAATTATATATTTTTTTTCTTTTTTTACTCTAATTATAATATATAAATAATAATAATACCAGAAATAATAGAAACAAACTTTTAAGTAGACAATAATTTAAGGCCTATTTTCTTTTTGTTGAAGTGTGATGGCAAGAAAATGAAAGATCTTTGTCTGAGCAACTTGTTTGCATGGGGACAAGAGACATATCTTTATAAATATATATATTAATTTTATTGTTTTTCATATATATTAATAAAACCAAACAATGTGTGTGAAATTTTTCACCTAGGAAAAAAAAGAAATTACTATTTGCCAGCTCAAGAAGATTCCTTTGTACATATGTCTGCAGCATGAGATGAAATTTCAGACAGTACAGATTTCTGTACTGTTATTGCAACACAATTATATTATTCGGTGAATTACGGACATCTCTAAGGTAAGGTCAAATTACGAAAAATCCCTTTTGTTTGCGTAATTACAATTAGTGTTTCAATTACGAATCTTCTTACACATCAATTCTTGCGTGCGGTGTCAAATTTAATGGATTATTCTCCAGTTTGTACCGTTTTACCCTTTTCGAGCTCTACGTTTTGAAACAAGATGATCATAAGATGCCTTTCTCGGCTTGTTAGTATCAGATTGTGGCTCATCAGAAACTGCATTTTTGCACGAAACGAGTACAAACTAGAGAACATTCCACGGAATCAAGAAGATTATGTTGAATTTGACACGGACGTGTAAGAAGACTCATAGTTGATAAGGCTGATTGTAATTACTCAAACAGTACGATTTTTCCGTAATTTGACCCTACATCAGAGGAGTGGTCGTAATTTACCCGAATATTATGTATTAGGAACACTATAACAAAAATTTAAACACAATTAACATGTTTCACCTTCTTCCCTTTCTGTATTACTTTATATTTTATAAATAATTAGTAAAAAATAAAAAATAATGAAACCACAAGTTCGAGTGTGTGTGTGTGTGTGTGTTTCTTGAAGGTTGCATGGGAAGACCGAAGAACACAAAAAAAAAAAAGGTTGTACTTACATGGTTTTTTCAGGACCACCTGATTTATCTCTTGTACAGTACATATGACAAGTTTACAAATCAGCACATGCAGAAGGAATATTAAGCCTCACAAATACAAGAAAATAAATAAATCAAATTATATAAACATATTATATTGCAGCACATAATTATTTTTTTTTTTTTTTTTTTTTGTGTAGATTCACTAATATGTAATTAATAACCACCCTCATGCACAAATAAATTAAAATGAAAATAATAACTGTACTTGGTGGTGGTGGTGGTGGGGAGGAGACAGCACATAAAATACAAGAAATTAAAAGAAAAAATAAAAATTGACAATTGGAGCAGACAAATTAAATAATATACAAGTTTTTTCTTTCTGTATCTCTATATATATATATATATATATATATATATATATATATATATATATATATATATATATATATATATATATATATATATATATTGTGTAAACAAAAAAAGAGAAGATGGAAAAACTGTGTGGCCTTTCTCAACTAATATCTTTCTTGCCTCACCTGTCATCATCTCTTCACACCAACTGTCTCATCTTATACACTAATTTAGCAACTTCTCCCTTCCCCTTTTCTTATTACCACCATTAAAAAATAAAAAAAAAAATTAAAAAAGATTATTAATTAATTAGTTCACATTTTTATTGATTTGTAAAAAAAATAAAAAATCTAATCTTTTTACCCAAAAATCAAGTCTTTTTATCCAAGAAACTATGTTGATGAAATTAAGAATGTCTTATCACAGTATTGTAGTGATTTTTATCTACAGTTTGATATTGATAATTATTTTTTTTAATTTTTTTTTTTTTTGAGTGGGGTATACCAATAAAAAGGTTTTGCATTGTGTGAGTTGTCCACCAATATAAATATTATTATTAGTTTTCTTGTTTCCTAAGTTGATTTCTTCAGATAAGAAATCCAACTTTCCATTTCCTTTCACCCCAAAAACAAAAAAAAATATAAAATAAAAATCCAATCTTTCTTGATTCATTCTTTCAAGAACTGTTTTTTTTTTTATGCTGTCTGCATGTTCTTTCATATTATTACATAGTACTCAATGTAATAATATATATATAATTCAGATCTGTTGAAAGAAGATAGAGAGAAGTTATATATATATTAATGGAAACATCATCACTTGCAGCTGTAGTTGGAGGCATAGTAGGTGTTCTAACACTCACACTCCTAATCACATTGTCTCTATGTTACTATTTCTTCGTGTTCCGGTTCCGGAATGTTCCGAACAAAGACTCCGAGACGGCGTCCTCAGATCCATCTGCAGCCGAGACTGCGAAAAGAGGAGGCGGCGGGCCCCACGAAGCGAAGCAATTCAGAATTGAGGAGCTTGAGCAAGCCACAAGGCACTTCAATGAGAGCAATCTGATTGGATGTGGTATTTTCGGCCTCGTTTTCAAAGGATTGCTATCCGATGGAACTGTCGTCGCCATCAAAAGACGAAACGGCCCTCCTAGGCAAGAATTCGTCGAAGAGGTACATATATATATTCAACAAAAAAAAAAAGAACTAATAAAAATGGTTTCTTGAACTAATTAAATTAATTAGAGTATTTTCATTGGAATAATGTGGTGGACAGGTGGCGAATTTGTCGGAAATTCGACACCGGAATTTGGTTGCGCTGCTAGGGTACTGTCAAGAAAGAGGATGTCAAATGCTGGTTTTTGAATACTTACCTAATGGCAGCATGTGTAGTCATTTATATGGTATATATATAGTTTTTTTACATCATCTATATTCTATATATATATATATATATATATATATTATATATATATATATATATATATATATATATATATATATATATATGTCTTAAAGTTGAATTCATGACAGTAATTTTTTTTTTTACAGACACCGGAAAAAGTTCGATAACGAAGCTCGAATTTAAGCAAAGGATGTCTATAGCAATTGGAGCAGCTAAAGGTATTATAATCATCATCAAAGATTTAAAATAATCTCAAGAAAAAGAAAGTTCCTAGTATTATAATTAATATAATTAATCAAGAACTTATTAATAGCAGGTTTAAGTCATTTGCACGGCTTACGACCTCCGTTAATACACGGAAATTTTAGGACAGCCAATGTATTAGTCGACGAGAATTTCATTGCGAAAGTTGCGGATGCAGGTGTACTAAAACTACTCGAGAGAATCGAAGATGCAAGCTCAAGTAGTACTAGTTCATTCAATGCTTTCAAAGATCCAGAGTAAAACCACTAAATCCATTTTTTCCCGTTTTACCCTTACTATCGCCTCGTTATATAGTAAAGGCTATTTCAGTCTTTTTTACGAGTCTTTAATAAAATTCAAGACTTTCTTAATACGCGTGTAAAAACCCAAAAACGACAGACATTATGGAACAAAGGCAAGTAAAAAAAAAGATGTCGTTTAATTTATATATATATGCCGAATGCTTATATTAGGTTGGGACAACACGGAGTTTTGCACGAAACGAACGATATATACAGCTTCGGAATATTCCTTTTGGAGCTCTTATCCGGAAAGGAGGCTACGTATCAAGAAGCCTTTCGATCAAACGACACCACACTTCAATGGGTAGGCAGGATTCATTATTTCAGTTTACCATTTATGCTACATTGTAAGAAACTTATCCGTGTCTATTTTATTTTTTTTAAATCGAAATAGGTGCAAGAAGAGATAAGTTCGAATAATCTAGTGGACCATCGATTATCGGGGAGTTTTACGGAAGAAGGGATGAGGGATTTTATCAAGATTATGATACCCTGTGTGAGTTTTCCGAGTGCCGATAGGCCGAGAATGGAGTACGTAGTATCGGAGCTCGATCAAATACTCGACTGCGAGATAAC